CAAAGGAGCCTAGGGTGTGTTCCAGGACCCTTTAAAGCAGGGGTCTCAAACATGGAGCTCGGGGGCCATTTGCGGCCATTTGCCCTTACCTTGCCTGCCCCTCCAAAGCGCCCACACATCCTCTCCTGTCAAGAGTTAAAAAAAAGCCTTGCCTCGCTCGCCGGCTCTCTCCCAAGACAGCACCTCTTGCACCCTCCATCTAGAACTGCAGCCTGCCAGCCAGCCCACCTGTCTGTCGGCTAAGGAAACTGGGCGGCTTCCTCAGCCTCTTGCTCTGCTTGGCGGAAAATCTGATGCTGCCCAGCCTCACCCAGACTCTCCCTCTAGCGGCCCCCAGGTAAATTGAGTTTAAAACCCCTGCTTTAGAGACTCACCCTGCCCCCCCGGGGGTCAGGGGTGAAATCGCCACCTTTTGGGAGTCTTCTGAAGCTTCCCAAGCCTCATAAGACTCCCAGAAGGTGGCGATTTCGCCCGTGCTGGCCCCGTGGGGGGGTGGGGGAGTGTCGCAAGTGTCCTGGAAGGCTCACTCGGACCCTTGGGACGCTCCCCCCATGGGGCTAGTGGGGGCAAAATCGTGGCCTTCGCTCCATAAGACGCACAGACTCCCCCCCATTTTGGGGGTGTGTGTGCGTCTTATAGAGCAAAAAATATGGTATTTCAGCTAGACAAACTCATTTTTATAAGAAAAATGAGGGGTCTGTAGGAGCAGATGTCATCCTCTATAATTCTGGGATGACCATGTGTAGCCTCACTGGGGGTTGCTCATTCAACTATAAAGTGTAGGTGTGAGTTTTATTTTCAGGTGGTACTTAAAACTTCGAAGGAGCACGTGACTAGATATACTGTGGTTCACAGACCAGGGATTCATCTATCCATGATTAGTGCTCTATTTTTGTTAAGAAATCCTCCAAAATAAACTTCATTCCATTGGAAACGGGATCTGATTTCATCTAAGCATGCAGATTTCATTTAACAATGAACAGAACTAATAATGGTGGTAATAAGTATTGTTACACATATGAACATTGATTTCATTCAAAGAATATAGTTTACATGAAATAGTCATTTCTAATTTGTTTTCTTTCCCCATAGGTCTGTGTACTGAAGGTCTCTATCGTGTTAGTGGGAATAAAACAGATCAGGACAACATTCAGAAGCAGTTTGATCAAGGTAATGGGAGATTGGTTGATGTCAGATCGTTTAAATGGATTTGATGGGCTATTGCTTGCAGTTCTGTGCACTGTTTAAAACCATTGCAACACAAGCTCCTCCCCACCTCTAAATTGATAATTGCAGAACTGGAGAAGGTGCATTTACATTACTGACGGTATTAACTTCTAATTATGGTTTGGAAGTTGGTGGCTAATCTTGATAGTGTGTATGGTAAGTATATGGTACAGTGGTGCCTCGCTAGATGATGATAATCCGTTCCACTGAAATAGCTGTTTAGCGTAATCATTGTCTAGCGCAGTGGTGTCGAACTGTGGCCCTCCAGATGTTCTTGGACTTCAACTCCCAGAAGCCTTCACCACCACCTCTGCTGGCCAGGATTTCTGGGAGTTGAAGGCCAAGAACATCTGGAGGGCCACAGTTCGTCACCACTGGTCTAGCGAAAAGCATTTTCCCATTGGAATGCATTGAAACCTGTTTAATGTGTTCCAATGGGGAAGAATCGTCGTTGTCTAGCAAAGATCGGCCATAGGAAAGCCGCTTTGTGAACCGCCAATCAGCTGTTTAAATCGCTGTCTTGCGAAGCTTAAGTCCTGAAAACACCTGTTTGCAAGCACGGAGGGAGCTGTCAAAATCGTTGTCTAGCGAAAATCGGTTTGCAAAGCAGGGACCAAACATTGTCCAGCAAAATTCCCCCATAGGAATCACTGTTTTGCGAATCACTATAGCGATCACAAAAAGCCAATGTCTAGCGAAAAAATTGTCATGCGGGGTAACTGTCTAGCGAGGCACCACTGTATTCATTTTTCTTACTGAGATTTATAGTAAGCAAATAAACACATTGTCATAAAATAACTGTTTACAAATATGAAAAATTATTTTAAAAGGCAGCATATTTTAAAGAAGAATCCTTTCATTTCCAACTTGCCCAATTCTCAGCCTGTCATGTATTTCTCACTAATTTTAAGATTTACAAGTAGAACAATCTACTTGAGAATAATCTGTGCATAGCATTTGTCATTTGGATTGTAATAGCGAATCAGAAGATGAAGTGTAGTAGGAAGACCAGTCTACCTGCGATGCACGTATATACTAAAATTCTATTTATTTCCAAGATTTTTAGCTTGATTTTTAGATTGGCTGTGAAGTTCTGGTGCCCAACGTTCGTGATAGACTTTAGGCCATAGAAGGAGTCTTCTTTCCTCAATCCGCTCTCACTTCTAAACTGTTACAGCTTGCCTAGGAGACTTGTGTTGTGCTTTCCATTCTGACTAGAATATTCTTCAGTAGAACTTCAATAGATTGTTAATAACACATCGTCTTTTTAAACTGAGAGATAAGTAGAGTTGGTAGCAACTACAAATGTCATGTTTCCGCCTGTCCCTTGATTTGCCTTCGCGAATACATTGTCCCTTGTTTCACCAAGCAAAGGCACAAGCGATGTGTCGTTTAGCTGTCACCAGTTGATTACATCAACATTATTCACTATTAATGACAGAGGTCCAGGCAACATATCTTTTAAGAACCAAATAGAGATTATTTATTGTTGCAAGTGATAAAAATCCAGTCAATGTTGTTTACTGTCAACTAAACCAGTGGTTCTTAACCTTTTTGAAAGAAACGCCCCCTTGAGCCATTGAGGAAGTTATCATTGCCCCCCTCCCCGTGGTGATGAGATCTTATTTATTTATCTATTTATTTATCTATCTGTCTATCTATTTATTTATTTATTTATTCATTCATTCATTCATTCATTCATTCATTCATTCATTCATTCATTCATTCATTCATTCATTCATTCTTTAAGACACTTAAATCCAATGACCCCTGAAAACAAAATTAAATTCCAAGAAAATGAAATGCCCCCAAAAAAGTAACATTTAATGATTTAGTTGCAAGTGAATTTTAAGA